TTGTGTCTTTTGACTCTTGTGATGAAATGTGGTAAGACTTTTTAGCATACTCTAAAGTGCAGTATATCCTACGATTAGTATTTGCTCTTGTTGTTGAGAATTTAGTATCAGGCTGCTGAGCAGACTGCCCACAAGGATCATCCAAGGATGGGTGCCTGCACTGCACATGGAAGGACTGCGTTTGAAGCAGAGAATACACCTTGCTGCAAGGCTTGCTTTTGGCTAAACAGGCCTAGATATTTGCAGTCTTATCATGTCGACCCCGTGTTTGATTTAGTGACAGGAAATCATTGTAGAAAGAAAAAATAGCCTCAGTGAAAAGCCACAGGCCCACCCAACTTTCCTTTAACTGTAGTGTTTAAAAATCTTGTTCAGTGTGTGCAGGTGATGTAGAAGGGTGGGAGAGGAGGGTGCTGTGCTCAGTCTGGGTGACACCTCTTCTGAGGCAGAGTTCCCCATGATTCTCTCATTATCATTGGAAACTAAATTGGAACTTGTCTTTTTTAGTTTTCTTTTACCTAATTTTGTAGTCAAACTTTCACCTTTGTTTGAGGTGTGAGGTGTTTTTGTGTTCACCACTTCCTCCCCTGCAAACTCCACAGCCTTGTTCAGTATCCTCATTCACCCTTAGCCTTTCTTATGTCGACCCCGAGCACCATGTACCTACTTCTAGTCCTCCCTACCTGGGCTTCAGAGCTCTTAAGAGCTGCAAATTTTCCCTACGTGGCTCCACACAGAGCTAGACAATAAATGATGAGAAGTCTCTCCTGTGAGGTCACCACCTCTTACTGGTAGGTCATGTTGACTGGGTGGATTATTGGCTTTGGGGCTTGGTGTCTCTGACTGGAAGCATCCAGCCTGACGTGGCCACGTGTTAGGAGACTTCTATCTGAGCCTGGGGTTATAGATCATTATTGGTTTATACTGTCATGTGTTGTTTAACACAGGGATACATTCTGAGGAAAGTATCAGGAGATTTCATTATTGTACAAATATCATAGAGTGTGCTTACACAAACCTAGATGGAATAGCTAGTACACACCGTAGGCTATATTATAATTTATAGAACTGCCATTGTATATTTTGTAGACCAAAACATCATTATAGAATGCATACTCAATATAGACATGGAAGCTGTGACCTTCACCACCATCTCTGCACCCAATCCCATGAACTATTTGTCCTATCAGTGGATGGCTTCATGCCAAAGCACATGTGATCAACTCTCAAGCAAAAGGGCAAACAGCAGTCACAGCCACCTACCAAAGCACACACAGACAAAACCAGTGTGCTCTGAAGAGTTCTTGGTCTTTCCCAAAATTCGGGGGGTTACTGTTTGTGATCTTTACTTCTATTATAGGTCATCATAGCAGACTGAAAAAAGAATAAAATATTCTCTTTTATTGCTTTAATAATACAATTATKGCATGTAGTGAATTTAAAACCATTTCAGAGAAACATGTCAAGGTGGAATTCATTCTTTCTCTTGCCCTCTGTGTCCTCCCATACCTGAAAAAATATATCACCTGCTCTGTCCCAGTGATTTCTTATATTAAAATTAATGTCATCACACCAGTTCACTGCAAAACAGACATTTGACAGGCACCCTCGCCTCTTGTCTTTCCTAAAAATCTCTTTGATCATTTTATTCCCCTTTTTCCCACTATTGTTGCTGTCTTGGTTGGGACTGCCGTCATTTTTTTCCTGGACCATCCTGACCACATTTTACTCTCTCCTCCCTCTAATTCATCATCCTCATCTGCTTCTAGAATTACATGTTAAAATCATAAATTTGATCATGTTTCTTCTTTATTAAAATATTCACCATGACTCCCATTGCCTACAGGAATCAGGACAAAATCCCCCATGACTTTTCTCCTGTGATCTCTTCCAGTATCATCTGCTGATATTCTCTTCAGGTATTTCATGCAAATGGTCATCTGCTGTGTCCTGAAATTTCTAGGTCCCAGAGACACTTTGCCTTTGTCTGTGTTGCTTTCCTGACCTTGAATGCCCTTATTATCTCCTCTGAGACTCAACTTGGAGACTGAACTCACATTACACCACTTTGTCAGAATTTCCAATCAGGCCTTGGCCTTCCTCTTCCCCACCATAACTTATTCTCTCCTTTAGATGCCCAAAGGCTTTGCGTATACTTCTATTATAGCACATGGCACATTACTTTATATTAATTTGATTACTGGTACATCTCTGTGGATAAATTACAAACTTCTCATGGAAAAATTTTACATTATTGGAAAAATTGTTTGCCATCCATTCATTTTACATTATTGGGGTTTAGCACAAAATAAGATATTAGGTATTGGTTGAGTTTATGGGTAAATATAAATTAATGGACATCTTCAGAGGTAAATATTTTACTAGGGTGCTAATCTTGCTTTGTAATTATTATATCAAATAACAAACACTAGAACTAAATTAAAACCAGAAATACACAATGAGTTAACTCTTAAACCAGAACCCTATTTACATGACTGTTATGAGGTAGTAAGCAGACATATGCTTCAATTCAGATCATTACTTAAAGAGAGTTTTATTATTTGAATGTAGAATCAATAGAGAAAAAACTGTAAGTGTGGAAAAAAATCAGACTTTTCAAAATCAATTTATTTTCAGTATAGCATTAAAGAAGCTGTCTCAATTACAAAAGAACAAAATAACTGTTCAGTTTTGCGATTTTTCTTTACATTTCTTCAGCCTCCCTTACACTAAGTAGCCAGAATACGGTGATGAAATTTTGATGAATTTGATAGTTTCATTGTCTACAATGTAAGTAAGTGAAATTAATTTTGAAAACTTCGTTCTTATTGAGTTTTATGGATCCTAGATATTATCTATTCCGGGAATAGCTTTGAAAATAAGGCAGGGTCCAAGATTATGGGACTGTTTTTGGTCTAAAAATTCTTGGCAGTCACAGAAGTTGTGCAGTAGAAGCAGCTATGATCTTCCCATCACTTAATTTGCTGAAATAGGCTGACAATATGTTGCTTTGCCAAAATTGATGATTCACTGACAAGAAATCTGCATGATTGGAGCCTTCCCTATTTGGGACTCTGTTGGGCCTGAGTTCACAATAGCTGTTCAAACACCATTGAACATAGATGCCCTGGGATGGTCCCTTGGATGAATCTTCAAACTAGGATATTTTTCAGTATTGAATCTTCCAAACTGTGTAATAAGTAGCTTTCAAACTTTCAATCCACATCGGGAACACATTTTCTATTATAATACAACACACACACACACACACACACACACACACACACACACACACACCTTAATTCAAAGTTTCATGAGATAACACATTTACTGTGTGCTTTACAGGTTGATGTTTATGTTACTATTTACTGGCTATGAAAACTTGGACAGGTTATTTAACTTCTTTTAACCTCAATTTCCCTATCTGTAAATTGAGGATATCAACACCTACCTCAGTATTTTTGCTAGGTTAAATGTAATTAACATAATGTGCCAGCACTGTGCATGACACAATAAATATGTTTCCTCTTAATAAAGTATTTAAATATAGCACTAGGGATGTGGTTCAGTGGTTGAGTGCCCCTGAGTTCAATACCAGGTAACCAGAGTATCCCCCCTACTGCCCCCCCCCCACCAAAAAAGGTGTTTGAATAGTTTATATTCTAGAAAACTTGTCCTAAGTTTAGTTTAATGCACCAGTTTTGCTGTTTATTTTGAAACTTATTTTTATGAGGTATTTTTTCTTAATGAGGCAATAATTTTAAGCCTGAAAAAGTTAAGATCAGTTAAAGGGAATTAAACTTAAGAATAATTGAAATCGTTCTAATTTTAGCTGTCTAAATGTAGTCTTTCTGAATCCGTCGATTCTTCTTTATTCCACTTATTGAAAAAACTACTATTATTTGTTACTAAATTGAATCCTTGTTGAGTGCCTCAGGATATAGGGACCAAAAAGAAGGCACTGAATTGAAGTACATGAAACAGGAATTGAAATGCTGTGTAAAATAGGGAATCTAGTTTTTTGAAATAGCATCTTTCAGATGCCATTCTACAGTGAATGCAAATTTAGAAAGGTAATTGTGTTTGACAATACAGAACTGCAGATTCAATATTTGGAAACAAACACATAAAGGTTAAGCRATGGATTTTAAGTGGTTTCCTCTGCATGCATCTGATACAATGCAGTGCAGTCAGACTCAGGGTCATGAGGAGTCATTGCCTGTACCTTTGCCTCCACTTTTGAGGAGAAATAATTTGACCTGAGTGGAAAAGGTAACTGTGTCATACTTTTTTCTTTTTTTAAACAGGCTGTACTATATTTATTTTTAAACAGTGTTCTCTACAGACACATGTGTTCTATAGAGTATAAGACAATTAATTTTCAGAGTGCTACATTAGAATTATACTTCAAAAACCAAATTATAGTAATAATGTACAATGTAACTGATTTATGTAAAATGAGCACAATTTTCACCAGGCTTATTATTATCTCTAAACTAAACACAAGTTATGTAATCAATTACAAAGTGCTTTCAAATTTGAAATTTAATTCTTATGACAATCCAGGGAGTTTGGTAGATCAAACATTGTTATCATCTTCATTTTAAGATACAGAAACTGAGTTGTAGAGAAATTAAATTGTTTGACTAGAACTTATATTACAAGGAAGTCTGTAAATCCAAAACTGATTCTCTCTCAACTGGTAAACCCTTTAAAGACAGAGCCTAGTAAGTTTGTTACATTTTATCATGACAGAGATCCCACAGAGACACACACTAAAACGATCTTTTCCATCCCATTAGCAATTGAACAAGATATTCAACAAATGGAATAATATTTCTTGGATTTGTGATTTGGGAGTGGCTCTAAAAGCCTTAGCAAATTTGCTTGCCATGTCTTCCACAGTGGGTCCCTTATGCATGCAGTTGACAGGCTGATAGGTAGATGTGGAAAAATATTAAGTCAGCTGAACAATAAAGGCATTCACTCTAAGTCCTTACCTTGCAAATGGAACCAAGACAGCAAGCTGAGGACTCTCCACCACATATTGTGCCGTGCTGCTGTAACACTTTGTTGGCTTCCTCTAGATTCTGAAGTCAATGCAGGAAAGTAGTTTCTTTTGAAGGGGGAGAGGGAGTAGCTCTGTGACCTCATGGTGTCAACTCCTTTGTCTTCTCTGGGAGCCCCCTCCTAGTTAGCTGCCCCCAAACACCTCCAGGTGGAACATTTTGAGGACCACATTTGTCATCCTGATTGTGGAGAGGCGTGAGTGATGTGTTGGTGATTAAAGTTGTTCTACCACAAGTGGGTAGTACTGGTAAKTCTACTAACTCAAAGGCTTCAGGGRCTTGGGGGGAGGTATTAAAATGTCCCTATGTAATGATATCATCCTTATTTTTACTTTTCTAGTAATTTACTTTGTAATGACTATATGACTTATATTCATTCGATACTTAGGGTTAGGTAATTTTTAGTCAATCTYTGTGAACAATTTATATTTCTAAATCTGGCAACAATTTCTAATGGTTATCAGAAGACAAATCCATTCACATATTTACTTCTTTTTGAAATCTGCATACTTATCCATCCATCCATCCATCCTTCCATCCTTTCATCCATTTACCATCCACCATCTACCATCTAACATCCATCCATCCATCCATTCATCTGTCTGTCCACCCATTTCCCAACTTACTCAGTCAGCTTGTATGCACTTAATCAGATATGAAAGATTAACATCTTCTTTTTTAGATATAAGGATTTTATGATCTGGTGGATGAAAAAAATAAACAAATAGAATTTTAGTGCTTATTAATTATCATTAATTGGGTCAGTTGAGATAATCTTTACACCATTTTTTTTCATTTGAAATGGGGTGTCAGAGTGAGTGAATGAAACAATGGATGGACTCATCATCATTTGAGAAGCAAACAGTTCTTTAAGTTGTTTGATTTATCATTTTTCCAGAGCATCTTACTTTCAATTGTATTTTGGTCAATGGTGAGTATATCTTATTCATCTACAGGTATGATATTCTGCTGGTTGAAAACTTTGACTAATGCCACAATAGTCCACTGAACTCAGAGATTAAAGACAGACCCTGGGGAAATGCTGCAAGGCAGGTTTGCAGAGTAGATGCCCTTGTGGTTTGCATAGTCCTTCCTACTCTCATTAACCTCCGTCAGCCTACAGCCCACAGTGTGTTCAATAGGGGAGGGCAGCAGGTTGTGGCTGCGTAGAGGGGTGGAGAGAAAAGATGAGGTTGGAGCATGGTGGTCAAGGAGTGACCTGTTTTCTAATGGAACAGTGTCTACTGACCACCTTGTAAGTGGGAGTCCTCACAACTCTGTAGGGGAAACAACAACAACAACAATGACAACAATTTCCCCCCTATCCTTCTGAATTCTTAGCTGGGACCTCAATAACAATAGATAGATTAATATGAGAAAAAATGAACAATAAGTTTTTATAATGTATATTTCATCTATGCATGAGAAATTCACAGAGGGTGCTTTGTTATTTTATTTTATTTTTTTGGTATTGGGGATTGAACTCAGGGGCACTCAACTACTGAGCCCCATCTCCAGCCCCTTTTTGTATTTTATTTAGAGACAGAGTCTCACTGAGTTGCCCAGTGCCTCGCCATTGCTGAGGCTGGCTTTGAATTCGAGATTCTCCTGGCTTAGCCTACCGAGCCGCTGGGATTACAGGCGTGTGCCTCCGTGCCCAGCAAGAGTGAATAATTCTTAAGGAGATGTCTTGGAATTCTGGTCTATGTAACATTTTCAATAAAAAGTGCAGTTTTAGAGAAATGGCTAGACAAAGGACAAAGACCTTGAGTCTTGAATGGTGGAAAATTTTGGGAAGGCAAATATATGGGGAAACTCTTGGTCAAGAAGGGCTGATTAGTGGGCTGGGGATGTGGCTCAAGCGGTAGCGCGCTCGCCTGGCATGCGTGTGGCCCGGGTTCGATCCTCAGCACCACATACAAACAAAGACGTTGTGTCTGCCAATAACTAAAAAATAAATATTAAAAAATTCTCTCTCTCTCTCTCTCTCTCTTAAAAAAAAAAAAAAGAAGGGCTGATTAGTTAAGCTTGCTATGAAGTTTCCTCTGGTGCCCTCTCTGGATTAATGGTCCTTGGTACCAAGTTGTCCTTGGTACCAAGTTGTCCTTGGTAAAGAGGGAATGAGACCTTAGTAAATACATATTTTGTTTTTTTTTTTTTTAAATACAAGTGGCATATTCTGCTACCCTTCAACTGACTGCCAAGTTGTCATTTTGATCCCTATTCCATGAAATCCTAATGTAATGTTTCAGTTACTAACAGGAAATAATAGTTGGTTTTTGGTRGAAGAAGGTCATGTTTAGAGAAATAAGCAAATGTCTTATTTCCCATGGTCACTCTGGTCCACTGGGTTACCAGAGGGGGGAAAACCGAAAAAAGGCACATCTATTAAATAGCCTAAAGACGCACTGTTTTAAGGGTCAGAACAAATAGGGGATTTCCCCATGTGCAGAAGCCACTGGGGTTTTTGTTGCAATTACAAGAGAGGCCTAAACTTTCTTATTAACCTTTCATGGCTTTTGTAGAGAACCATGGCCTTTCCCAAGGCCAGAGAGAGAGAGATGGACTCGCCTCATTTCCCTGAAGATGCTGTTGCTGCTAATTCACACCTGGGGTGGGATTCTTTGAGYACTGTTGTAAAACTTACCATGGAGTTTCTAAGTTAGACCAGCAGCCTTTGAAATTAGTTATTGATTCAGAAAAAAATTTCCTAGGAGCAGCAAAACTTAGTGGGATAAACATGGGGGCAGAGATGGGCTGGTCACCTGGGCTTTGTCACTCTTAGCTGGGTAGCTTCTGCACATCATTTACCTCTTAGAATTATGTTTTTCATCTACAAAATAGGTAGACAGCCTAAGGTGATGGGAGGTTTGAATTAAATACAGTTCCCAGAGCACCCTGCAGTGTGGTGCATACAGGACCTACATGAATCTACAGACCTAGATGGCTGGGCAGCATCTCAGCCCCACAGAATCCGCAGTAGGTTGGATTTGCTTGGAAAGGAAAGAGACAACTAAGTTTTGTTTGCTCTTAAAGCTTATGCCTAAAAATCCAACCATTGTGAACCTGGGCTTCAGTGGAAGTGGAAACTTTAATATAATCAAATAAATCATTCTGGAAACAATTCAGATAAGAAAGGATTTCAAAAGGAATTTGTGGTTCAGGTGAATATATCACAGAACAGCAGGGGTCACCTTCGGGTACCAGCTCATGGAGGTCTTCCTGGAGAGGTGGCCAACCTTAGTGGCTTTCTCTGTAGATGGGGTTTGAGGAAAGTTGGGTCTCACATCTGTGTTCTAAAAACCCAAGAATTTCCCAGGTTTTTCAGCCTTTTGAAATGTTTTCATGAAATTTTCTTTAAAAATATGTGTGTATATGTGTGCATGTTTGTGTGTGTGTGTGTGTGTGTATAAAATATTGATACCAGGGATTGAATCCAGGGACACTCAACCACTAGACACATCCTCAACCCTTTTTTATTTTGACACAAGGTCTCAATAAGTTGCTTAGGGCCTCACTAAGTTGCTGAAGCTGGCTTTGAATCTGTATCCTCCTGCCTCAGCCTCCGGAGCCATTAGGATTACAGGTGTGCACCACCATAAGCATCTTTTATTTTTTTTTGAGAGGGGGTACCAGGGATTGAATTCAGGGGCACTCAACCACTGAACCACATCCCCAGTCCTATTTTGTATTTTATTTAGAGACAGGGTCTCACTGAGTTGCTTAGGGACTCACTGTTACTGAGTCTGGCTTTGAACTCACGATCTTCTTGTCTCAGCCTCCGGAGCCGCTGGGATTACAGGAATGCACCACCGTGCCCAGCTCATAAGCAGCTTCTTTAAAAAATATTTTAAAAATATTCTGGAACCATTCAGATGAGTTGGTATCTCAGCTCCAACATTTCTTAGTCATGAGATTCTGGGCAAGTTATTGCATCTTTCTAAGACTCAGTTTCTTCTTTCATAAATCAGGGACTAGTATCTACTGAATAGGGGTGTCAAGAAGATCAGAATTTACACAGTCCTTAAGTGTCTGATAAATACAAGGGCTTAAAAAATGCTGGCTGTCACTGTGCCAGTCTCTGGACACCCCAATCTATGAATTTGTTATGTCAAGTAAATTGGTTTGGGTCCATTCTGTGAACTTAGAATAAAATCTGAATGCTTTACTATGATCTGCATTAGAGGTCACAGACTCTTTCTACAAAGGGCAAAGTAGTAAATATTGTAAATATTTTTACTACTTAACTGTGTGTTTGTATCCTCATAGCAGCTACAGGCAATGTGGCCATGAATAAAGAAAGCTGCATTCCAATAAAACTATACTAGGATTCCAATTTCATATAATTATCATGTCATGAAATACTATTGTTCTTTTGTTAAATTCTTAGCTTGTGAGCTATACAAAGACAGGCTATAGGCAGGGTTCTGCTCATAGGTGAGATTCAATTGACCGACCCCTGGTCTATAAGACTCTATGCTGTTGGATCGGCCACCTGTCTAGCCTGTCTCCCCCGACTTTCTGTCATGCTCACTATGCTTTCGTTCCCCAAYCTCTTCTGTTCTAATTCAGCCACTTCCTTCCGACCTGGGGGGTTTCTGCACTTGTCATTTCCTGAAACCCTCCTTGTATAGTTCTTGCCATGACCAGTTCCTTGATCAGCTGGTTTAATGGTTGCCTCTCAGGGACACCATTTCTGACCATCCTCTCCAAGAGAATTCCCCCTGCTCCAAAGTTACTCTCTGTCATGTACCCACTTTACTTCCTAAACGTCATCTATCAAAGTCTATAATTATCTTGTTCATTTATGTGCCCTGCTTTCTTCTTTGCCACTATAGCTCCAGTCCACCAGCCTGCTAAGATATAGCATCCAATAAAGATCACAGAACGATGAACTAGTCCACAACCTCAATATCTTAGTTTCTTTTATACCATGAGTTAATAATCCCTGGTCTCCTTACCTTGTAAAATTGTTATGAGAATCAAATGAACAATTTGTTGTTTAAATTAAAAAGAGTTGTACCAAAGGGAAGGTTAATCAGTCAGGCAGCTTTCTAAATAAACCGCAGAATTCAACCAACACACCCTGTTACTATTTTTCTCTTACTACGGAAACTCACTTAAGGGGAGAATGGTAAAGCAATGACCATATAAAAGAAGCTGTTTTATTTCTCATCCCTGATATTCCCCATAGCCAAATGGAAGGGCTCCATGTGGGATCCTATTTTGGCCTTAGCAAAGAAATTAATTTCTTATTAGTATGTAGTCTTTTATTGTCATTAGCATGTACAACTAAGTATTTTATTCATTATCCCACTTGAGTCTCACAATCACGCTGGCAAAAAAATCATTATTGTGCCTATTTTACAGGTGAAATGAGTAGAAGGCATGTACAAAGCAGTCAAGCCAGGATCACTGCCCAGCTCTGCGACTCAGGAATGTTTCTTACTACAACAGGATGTTCTTCTCCAGAGACACACAGCCCTATGGATTGCCCTAAGGACAGAATGGTGGCCAGGAAGCTAAGTAAGACATGATATCTCTCCACAGCCAGAGACAATTCCTCTGTATTTCACATGTATAGTTCTGGTAAAATGAAGTATGATGTTTCTTCAGAAGAAATGTGTGTGTGTGTGTGTGTGTGTGTGTGTGTGTGTGTGTATTTTTTGGTCCTTAAACAACTTTCAAGAACAACAGCAGCAACACATTACACATTTTGCTGATTTAAGCTTAAACAAATCCAAAATACATTGACTGAAATCTGGATGTGTAAGCAGCCTTTACAAACATCACCAAAGGGGGAAATGAGTTTGGGAATCTGTCAGGCAGAGTATGACCGAGAACCAGCCAGAAGGCTAAACACAGCCTGGTCTTTTGTCAGACACCAACATTAGCTGTTATGTTTCCTCAGGAAGTAAACCGTGCCAGGGCAGTAGATGGTTGTAATAACAATGAAAATCTGTATTCATATCCCCAGTACAAATTTGCATTCCAGGCTTATTTTAAAATCTTGTTAGCTTAACATATAATTTCGTTGATTATAGATTCCATGGATTGTAGTGGTGGAGAACCAAGTTTGAGTTGGATTTGCCCTCTCTGTTACCCAAATTCTTCCTGAATGGATCAGACCTGGTGAACCTCCTTGAGTTGGCTGTTGGAGAGGAATGAAGAGTCCCATGGGACTCAGGACATGCTACTCCCAAAATATGGCACTTAGATATAGGGTATGTTTAAAGCTGAAAGATTTGACACAAATGGCAGAAGCAGGAAGGTCCCTTTGACACCCCCTCACCTCCTGTTCTTCTCCCCTGAAGCAGGTCATAAAACCTAGGAAGGATTCTCTGACCTCCACCTGAAATAGATGCTCATGTAGGAGGTGTCCTCCCTATATCCGGCTGAAAGAAGCACCCTTATCTCTGAAGATAAAAGGACAAAACTGGGAGGAATCCAAACAGGCAGTGCAGTTTTTCTAACTCCATTACCATTAGATCATACTCTTTATCATATTTCTTCACGTTTGCTCCCTCTTTATCAAACTTAGCATCAAAATACTTAAGCCTAACAATTTCTTTGGGTCTTCATTTCCTGATGAAGTTTACATATTGTGGAAAACTTAAATCTGTATGCTTTTCTCTTGTTATTTTGCCTTTTGCTAAAGGGCCCTCCACCATGAACCTAGGATTGTAGAAGGAGAGATATTTGGGGGCAGTGGAAGCATTTTGGAGCTTGCTGTTTCATTCATGGCTGGATTTTCACCTCACCAGTYTGGATGACTCAGAGATTTAGTGCCTGACCAAAAGGGACCTGAGACCCTCAGAGCTGCTGGAGCATGTTTGCCCTTCAGTCAATTAGCAGTAAGTGTCCCTCAGGCCCTGTGAGAGAAGAATCACACTCTTAATGGACACTTATGAAATAATAATGACCACAATAACATCTGAGAATAGGATAGGAATAGACGCCATTCAGAATTTAATATGAGATTGCTCTGGATCGACTGAGGACACAGTTTCTCTTTATTAAATCATYTATGAACCATTTCAGTGGAGATGCTCCTGGAATGGAAAGAACTAATTACAACAGTGCCATAGCTGTATCAGGAGGGGACAGCTCTCAGCCAGGAAAGCATGTGTGCTTGGGTAGTGGACAAGAAATTTGGCAATACAGTTAAATGAGGTTTTCTTTTTTATAATTACAAACTTTTTTTTAAAAAAATAAATACACTTGAATCACAGAGAAAAAAAATGATACAATAGTTTTTAATAAGTGAGAAAGAACTCAATTGCCTCCCCAAAATAGCAGGTTTAGGATGGTTTATGCATTAACCAAAAGGCTTTGGGATCTTATTCCCRTCTTGAGTGGCAATTAAAGAAAGAACCAGTACACATTTTTCATTACACATATGTATCCTGTACAAAGTCCATGAATAGTTGAACAGCTGCAAAATTCTGATTTTTGTGTGAGTAATGGCAGCTAAGTGGTACCGAATAAAATATTTGTAAGGAATGATTGCATATTAAGTTTGACTACTCATCACTATAATTTTAAGCCTACATACATCAAACCTAATATTACATGTATTTAAAATCAAGTTATTCTCTTTGCATGTAGAGGAAATCTTTTTCCCCCTTTCCTTGAATTTTCAGTATAACTAGTTACTTCCCAAGGAAAATTCAATATGTGGAAGTATTAAAGAGAAGCAAATCCAATTTTAATCCTACATTTAAAAATGGAAAGCATCTGCCGTCACCTATCAAAATATCCCCCATCACCTTTGTAACATGAACATTAACCTAAATAGATGTTCAATCGCTCTTTTTCCTGCCTTCCTCTGCCTGTCTCCCCTCCCTCTAAAGCAGCCTTGTCAGCCAAGCGCCTCTTCTTTCTCACACATGTGCTGGATTACAATTTAAATGCAAATCATCCCAGCCTCATTATCTAACTTCATGAAGATTCGGTACAGTTGACTGTGCTGATTTCTGTGAAAATTAAACGGAGGTTCATCTGTATTCCAACACATGCATTACTCAGAGTAAATTCAAAAGAGCAATTCATCACTACTTTTAAATTAAACACTGGCATTGCCAAGWGCCTAGGTTACAGAGAAACGCTTTCCTTTGACCACACAGGGAACCCTTTCTACAAAAGCAACGAGATAGGAACTTCTCTTCCTGTAGCTGTTCAATTAGTTCCCAGTGACACTAGGTAATTGAAATAAGAAACTTCATTTTAATACGAATACAGCTAGTTAAGTGGAAAAGATACATTTATGGTAATGTTATGCACACAACGGGAAGACAATCTATATGTGTCTGGAACACTACAGACAAGAAAATGATCAATGATGACTTACCAAACTGATATCACTCCAGAAGGTATATTTTTTATTTTGTATTTTTTTTTTTTTTTGCAAAATCATCTTTCAAATATAAGATAACTTTAAAACAATTCTTTGGTTAAAAGTATAATTAAAATAAAAAGTAGAAACTCCTCCAAGCCTTTCAGCCATCAGCTGGCTATTTAATTGGCCATTTAGATTCCAGGAATCTAAATGTGATGGGCAACACTGTAATCTCAACGCCATACTGGGCGAGGCAAGAGTCTCCTCACTAGGAAAGCAGTGATGGCGGAGAGAGCCTGGGAAAACGGAGCCCTCGGTTTATGCATTAGAATGTGCCAATTATTCTAGTCCATGGCAGAATAGATGTGGCATTTTAAAACCATGGAAAACAAAGCCCTATCTATGAATAATACTGGGGCATTAGCAGATTGATGTGACACATTTGTAGAAGCAGAAAACAGTTTCAGATTTGTAATCCCAGATTAAATCCTTTAGTTAATTTCATTTCCCCTAGTTTATTTCAGATAGCTTTCTACATTAATTTTTTTTTCTTTTGTATAAGAAACCATTTGATTATTCTTTTCTGGCATTTCCTCCCTTTTTTTCTTTTTTATCCTTCCCTTACAGGTCATTTATTCTAATAAGCATCAATCTCAGATCAAAAAGAACCAGCCACAACTTCAGGTTGTAATGTCAACTTAGAATTTTTGTATGAATATGAMATCTGGTAATACTGTTGTTTCTTTTATTACACATAGATTCAATATTATTTCTAAAGAATTCCTTAGTTGGAGTCCATAGTTAAAATTTTTAATAGGTAATTGTGCAAAGAGATTTTAATGTGAATTCAGATTATTCAGCCATTTTGATAAGCAATTTGGATAGTTAAAGCAGAGGAATAAACTCTTTTTGTACTTAGGGTTCTCTACCTAAATTATTCAGAAAATTGTTTTAGATCTCTGCTTCCTTTGGCTCAGGTAGGCAGTTGCCTAAGGCTGTGTTTGTATTAGACTAAGGACATTGGAATGCAGCCCAGTCAAACTGATTTATCAGGACATCATAGGACTAAGACAACTGAGGGAGATGGAGAGGATAACCTACTCTGAACTCTATTTTACACAAGTAAAGACACTGTCTAGGGCACACTTCAAAGTGTCAAGGAAATCTGATGTGACGTATTCAAGCATATTCTGAGCACTCAAGCCCAGGGAAACCTGTGGTGAATCCAATAAATATTATAGACCTGATTAAATGGTGGATTCACTTCATTACAAATACCAGGGACACTACATTAGCTATAGTGTGACTTTTCTTTTTTAAGAACTGTAATGGGATATTTCCCTCTCAGTTATTTTTAAGGTTAAAACATACTAATATGTCACCAAAGGGTTATTTTTATGTCCAAAAGTTGACAGGTATTTGTGTAATGCTAAAAGAAATCACAATCTGTTTCTTCAAATGTAGAATTAGTGACCTATTTTTCTAAGTGTCTTTTAAAATTTTTTTCCCTGATTAACACATATTGCCAGCAACCTTTCACTTCCTCTTCTTTCCAGGGGTCATCAAATTTCAATTTTAATTACCAGCATAGGTCTGTTTTTATTTGCCATATATTTTATGAGTCTGGGTTTTAAAACTTATTCTACAACATAGATAGATTTGCTTTAAACTATTGTTCCCTTCAAATGGCTGGGATTTCACTTTGTACACAAATTCTACACAATGAACTATCCATACCAGACCATTGTCTGTGGCCCTTATAGTCAGCTATTCACACAATTAAATAGACATTGATCATGGATGTTTTGGTTTGATTGTCATTCATTTTTTCTTTTAAATAAACTCCCTTTAAATATGGGAAGTAGGTATAAAAGAAACCACAGGATGTGGTTCTCTAATTTTCTTCAAGTGGCCCTACCTCCTCTATATTTTAAATTACCATAGAAAAACAAACAAAAAAGGGACAGCACAAGTAGCAGTGCATTGTGACTGTCAGCATTGAGATTAGTTCCCTGACTTCATTATACATCCCTGGTATAAGTGGTGCATTTGTGGATGTTCTGTTATGGTTAAAAGGTACTATAAGTATCCAACAACCTGGCCCTTGGTGTGGTTTATAAAGATATTCATATTGCACAGAATGAGCTTCTTGATTATTCAAATAATTTATTGAACATATTCTTTCAAAATGTCAACATCCTTAACTAGTTAGCATAGTAGCATAGTCTAGGGGGCAAAGACTAGCAAATTTTGGTGATTTAGAATTGCTGTGGCTCATTAGACTATGATATGGAAATTCTAATTCTCTTTATAGTTTGCAAGCTTTCTGCACCTACCATTGAACATGTCACATGTATCTTCCACATGAAGTAAAAGCACATTGAGAGCAAAAATGCTTTGTTTCCCCATTTCACAGATAGAAGCAAGAAGGGCCAGCTGCTCTGGAGAAAATGTGGCAGTACCAGGGTAAATGTTAGAGTCCTCCAGCAGGTGTCTTGATCCAGCAACACTGGTGTATGGAGTCTGCTGAGGGTGGAATTTGATGTGTGACCTAAGGACCATCCTTTGGGGGCATGTTTTCTAATAACTTTAAAAGGATTCCTCAGCTTTGCCTATCTTAAAAATGGAGTTCAGAAGAAACCCCCGCCCCCAAACTGCATTCTGGGCATACTCCTTCCTCTTGCATCCTTCCACAGAGCAGGCCGGCAGCTCCTTTGGGGAGTGAGGCTCCTTAGCCATGCATAGGCGGAAGGGGGACAACAGCATCTGCTGCAGCGGGTGTCCCAATTTTGGAAGACAGTTCTCCAAAGCCTTGTTAGCTGGGCAAGAGTCCAGAGAGAATGGATTTATTTTCTCCCTGAATCATGTCTTTCTTTCATTTACAGTCTCATCATAAGAACTTTAAGCACAAAAGAAAATATGCTAGATTATTCTGAGCTGTCCATTTAGAATGTGGTATGGAGTTTTCCACTGTTACTAAACACCCCAAAGACTTCTCCAAAAGGCCTTTTCTTCACTCCCGCTGTGGCTTACTCTTGCAGCAAGGTCTCTCTCCAGTTGAAGCCCCCTGTTGGTCCATGAGTAAGGGGAAGAATGGGGGGATCTGTTAGCTGCCATATTCCAGTTTCTCCTAGTTCTTCACAGGAGCAAAAGCCTAGGTATGGGATCTGAAGTAAGAGTAGTACAAAAGGAAAAATGGAAGACGGAGGGTCAATGCTTAAACTTTCACCTAGACACAAAGATATGACACAAAGTGGCTCTAGAACAGGGGCTTTGTAGAAATGTATCCTCTTCAAAAGTCAATAAGCGACATGAATAGAACTGATAAATGAGAGGGAAGAGTATTTACAGTGCAGCAGGATCCATCAGAAGGATCTATCAAACCATGAATCCCCTGCTGTAAGTTTTTTAGTTTATAGACTGCTGCTTGATAGAGTGAGAGACAAAAGAACAAAACATATACAATATTCCCTCCCACCCCACTTTATTCACTTTGGATACATTCCAAAACCCCTAGTGGATGCCTGGAACCTTGGATAATACCAAACTCTCTATATGCTGTTTTTCCCCCGCTATATGTAYATACCTATAATAAGGTTTGATTTATAAATTAGGCACAGTAAGGGATTAACAACAATAATAGATAAAATAGAATAACTAACAATATACTGTAATAAAAATTATGAGTGTGGTCTTTTTCTTTCTCAAAATATCTTACTGTGCAGCATTGTATCTTTGGATTGTGTTTGGTCACAGGTAACTACAACTTCAGAAAGTGAAATCTTGGATAAGGAGGCTACCACGAGGCTGAGTTCCAGAAGTTAATCCCTAATTCCACATCAATCCCAAATTGCACGTCAAGTTAAAAAGGCACCTTGAACATTTCTTTTTTCTTTGAACATTTTTGAAATTGTACTTGAGCACAATGGCAAAGATCATTTAATTTTTAATCATTTGTTTCACCCTTGCTTTATCTTTTTTTTGGGGGGGGCACACATATCTGTGACATTCAAAGCAGAAGTTCTGCCCTTGCTATTATCAGTTGTTATGGCAATTTTAAAATATATTTTTGCATATGTGTCCAGAGCTACATTTCTAATAATCCCTGCCCTCCAGCAGCTTACAGACTAGTGGGGAGGACACATAAATAACCTGTTTAAAAATGAGAAGAGAGTTGCAATTGAGTTTCCTTTCCGGTGGCACAGAAAGGAAGTAGCTGCCTTATATGGTAGGTGACTGACCAAAAACCCTTTCTATGGGCACGAAAAGGAAGAATTCAGATGTACAGGTCAACCTCCTGGGGTTTTGTCTTATTACTGGGTTTGCCTGTGGCCCGACCACCATCACTTGTTGCTTTCCTTGGCCTGCAGGCTTGTTAGAACCGATCACCTAGCTAAGCTTTCAGCTGTGTTAGACTAACTCTCCTTATCCACTCCAAGGTCCCTCATTGCTTGTAATTCTTAGCTGCTTCCTAAATGTTAGCTCTGAGAAGCTGGAATTGTCGTTAACACATCTTTTTCTCTTACACAAGATCTAATAAAGTGCTTTACAGAGTCCCACTCAATGCATCTTGGCTGAGTAAATCAATAAGTGAATCTTCCTAGCTCAGCATAAATACATGCTTCAAATAATGAGCCAAAAGCCAGTCGCTGAAGTCTTATTAAACTACTAGGCACCATGAGTCCCATAAGTTCAAGATTGAATTACCTTTCTGACCATTTGTACGAAGTCCTTGGAATTCTGAGGTGACAGGCCCTGCAGCTGACAGGTACATGCTTCAAGGGAAGATGCATGGGCCACAATCAGAATGTTATTTCCTGGGGACAAAGGCAAAGAATGGGAAGGCCATTTCTATAAAGACATATGTAAACTTTGTAAATTCTGGAAGATTCATGTTCTGGGGAGGGATCAACATTCTCAAAAAGAAGACAAAACCAGGCAGGGTGGAACAAGCCTGTAATCCCAGGGAAGCTGAGGCAGGAGAACTGTAAGCTGGAAGCCAGCCTTGGCAACTTAGCCAGACCCTCAGCAACTTAGCAAGACCCTGTCTCAAAAAAAAATATTATAATTTAGGATGTATGTAGCTCAGTGGTAAAGCACCCCTGGGTTTAATCCCCAGCACTTCAAAAAAAAAAAAAAAAAAGGCAATTTGCCCAGCCAAGCAACACTTTGAAAATTCTTCATTATTTAAAAAAAAAAACAAAAAAACCCCCAACTTTTTGTCTTAAAATAATTATAAACAACACAAAGAAATGGTAAATATTTAAGGAGAGGGAAAAAGTTAATCACCCTGATTAAATCATTATACATTGTATACATGTATTGAAATATCATATTGTAATCCATAAAACATATTTATTATGTTTATTTAAAAAATTTAAAAAGGGGCTTGGAATACAGAATACTTGCCTAGCATGCACATAACCCTGGGTTTGATTTCCARGACCAAAATAAATAAAAGAAAAAGGGAAATTTTTTTTTTATAGAATTATAGATTAATCTACAGGAGGTTACACATACATACATATATACACACAATGGAGGTCTCATGAAGCCTTCCCTAGTGGTTACATTGTAACCATGCTACACTATCAACTCTTGAGGGTTTTTTTTTTTTTTTTTGTGTGTGTGTGTGTGTGTGTGTGTGCTGGGGATCAAACCCAGGCATACTACACTGTCAAAACCAGGAGATGGACACAGTTACAATCTGCCTGGCTTAATTGGCTCACCAGGCAGTCACTGTGTATGAGTATATAGTTCTGTGTCACTCTCCCACATGCATAACTGTGTGTAACCACCATGAGAATCAAGAAGCAGAAGTCCTCTACATCTACAGGGCCCCTGGGCCAGCCCTTCTAACACAGAGTGAAATATTGCCACTAGAGAATTGTGAGCACTGGAGACCTCCTGGCTATTAGCACATGCTGTTTACCTTCATGGTAGTGAGCAGCTTATGAGTGATAACGGAAACAGTAGATGGACAACCATCTACTGTTGCTCAGGGCTATCTACTGTCAACATTTCTGTGCACATAATTATAGTTTTTGTTCTATGAATATAAATAAATTAGCTTGAAATTTATAGTCAACAGTCAGTCAGAAATATTAAATATTTGAACCCAATCTTTGGAAAATGTAACAGCAAACAGACTTGAGCCTTACATACCCGTCTGTTGGTGGCAGCATGGCTAATATATGTGTTTGGGTAGATGTTTCTTTTTTCTGTTTTTTTTTTTTTTTTTTTTTTTTTTTAACCAGGGATTGAACACAGGGGTGGTTACCACTGAGCCACATCCCCAGCTCTTTTAAATACTTTATGTAGAGACAAGGTCTTGCTGAGTTGCTTAGGGTCTTAYTATTTTGCTAAGGCTTGCTTTGAACTCCTGATCCTACTGTCTTAGCCCCTGGAGCTGCTGGGATTACCGGTGTGTGCTACCAATGGTTAGCTTGTGTAGATGGTTTTATATATGAATGTCCATGMTCTCTGGTCAATTATAGGCAAACAGTGTTATTCTAGAGACCTTCTGGAAATTGCAATGGGGAGTCCTCTTGGTAGGGCGCCAAAYGGCCAAAGATAGTGCAGAATCTAAGTTATTAAATATAAGTAATTAAGTCTAGTGTGTTCCCCTGGGATTCCTACCATTTTAGGTACTCAGAGAATATTACAAATTCAATGTCAAAGAATTTAGAAGAGAGCTAGAAATATATTTCTTTCCTATTAAGCAAGTCTGTCAAAGCAAMTGCAAGCATCTTGAGTAACCCTATTAGCCATGATAGAGAAATGGTGACATATTTAAATATGGAGTCCAAAATAATACCACCTACCTTTACTTTTACATTCACTTATAATTTCTTTTGTTACTTGGAAACTTCTATTGATATAAGTGTCATAGGATTCTGCAACCACTAGTTTGCTGACTGGAATGTGAGGTCTGGAACAGAAGAATGAACAAAAGAAATGAAAACATTTTGATCCTGGGATGAAGCAATTGATATTCTAAACCATTTTGTCAGGACTTTTCCTAAAGTTCCCATATGTCTATCCATGTCCCTAGAAAGAAGGGAGGTAAAGAGAAGACTATTGCCTTTATAAAGACATGGGGTTGAAATGCACTGAAACAGATTGTATGTAYGGTTTCACAGTGACCTGTTGAAAAATGAGATATTTAGTTCATGCTCCATGCACAGGATGATATACCCACAGTTAGACTACTTTTACTGATTATTATCATTGATGGACCTAATCATATACCTTATATGAATTAAGGCGAGATTAGATTAGGACAGGTTTTAAAAGCAGAAAATCCATCTGATTTGTGACGTCATAAAAATTTCCACCAGCCTTTTCCTTCTCTTTGCCTCTTATTGAAAAAAAGAGATCAGACACCTGGCACTAGGACAAGCCCATAAGATATAAAGATGAGGAAAGCCCAATTTCTGGGCTTGAGGAGCTAGCTCTCTGTGTGGACCACGTGGGGGAGGTTATTGATGCAAATGATAACTATGTAATCTACAAAGGCATTAAAAAGAAAGATCAAAATGTCTGACCTGGTGACCTGGTCGACCAACGCCCTTGGGGCCCACTGTTGAGAGCCACAGCCAAAGGGGCCCCAGCAAACTTCCAGCTGCCGGCTGATGATTGGCTCACAGTGGCCCCAGCAACATCTAGCTGATTGGCTCCTC